TATATATATATATATATATATATATATATATATATATATATATATATATATATATACACACACACATTCACGTTATTTCACAAACAAGCGAAACTCGAATAGTACGATGTGATGATGAATAATTTTATAAAAGTGACCTTGTATGGCGACATTTCAATGACATTAATATAGCAAATATTTTCTTCCGTCACCGAACAAAATTATACAAAATTTATTTTCATACACCGTTCATACTGTTGTCAAATGCGTCTCGGTAGTTTAACAAGTTTTGTGACAGAAATATGCAGTATGTGTGTGTGCGATCTCTCGCTCGCGCCACTTGTACGGAGTTTTATTATGACACGACGATATCGATGCTTTCATTGTACAGCTCCAATTTAACGGCGCAAAATGGTAAAGTGGATTTACAAACATGGCAGCGAGTCGATTGCAAACATATGCGCATTTACAGTCAGCTATGCTACCTTTTGTGAACAAGCGGTATAATTTTTAACAATACAACAATCGAACGCTTGCAAAATATTGCGATGCAACATAGTCAACGTCCAACAAGAACTCTAAAGAATTGGGAGCTAGAAAGCGATACAAATGTATGAATAATAAAATCTGCGTAAAATAAAACAAGACGTATCTCAGATACATACCAGTGTACATAATTATATAAGAAGATAGTTTTCAAATTATTTTATAAGTCTTAATGATAATTTCCATCATAAAAACAATATATTATGTGAATAAGTATATCATGTATATAATTGGCAATGTTAAAACTGCACTGTTAAAACTTAAAATAATAACTCGTATTTAGAATGATGCATGATTCAATAATAAAAACAAGAAAAAAAGAGAAAGGAAAGAATTGGCCGAAAAAAGTGTATATATATATATCAAATATCAGATGATGGTGAAAAATTTCATTTTGGACGCGATTTCATCCATCTCCATCATAAGAGTCGCTATGCGTGCGTCTTCTGTTACGACGCAGACATTAGTCGGATTTGATTTATCGATCCGTTTTGTTGAAGTTTCGTTACACGCGAATAAAAGGACATTTACCGCTGTTCCAAGTGTAGGGCAGACGCGAATGCATTATATGTATTTACGAGTGTTAAGGGTTGTTACATGTATACATCAGCAACGTACCGAGACGATCACGAAACTCGCGAATCAAGTCCTGTCAAAACTGATAATCTTTGGAGAAGATACCAAAGTCAATATCATCAAAAAGAATAAATTACCAACATAAATGTCTTGTCTTTATATTCTCAAATGTATACTTAATATGTAATATTTTTTTAGAGATACATCTGTTTTCATTTTGGAATTATTCTGTCTATCTATGTATCTGCTGATAGTTTTAAGAACTACTTTCGATTGATATATTACTTGTTTAATACTTCTCTAATTCTGCTTTATGCGTATAAAAAATTCAAATCTGTATTTTTATTGCGTGTATCTGCATAAGAAGTATTTTCGAAGCATTTGCATTTAAAAGATCTCTTGTAAGGGAGATTCCAATCTAAATTCTAATCTCTCAGAAAGAAATATGAAAATGATTTAAGTTATTTTTAAGTATTTTTTGAAAAGAAACAATGTTGCAACGTTACGTACTATGCAAAAATATTTTTTTCCGGGATTAAATATTTCTAACAAACTTCTATACCTCAAAGAGATTTGATTAATTTCATCTATTATGTATAACTTAATAAAATTTTAATATTCATTATTCTCTTTTCTCTTAATGCGTAATAGGAACGTCATAATCATGAATCATCGATATGATATTTATCTTAAAGTCATCGTAATAATAATAATAATGATAACATTAAGAAGCATTTTATTATCAGAAACATAAGAGTTAATACTGCTTATGAATCATTTGTCAACTCTTAAATTATACTAGTGTATTCTTAAATATTTCATTAGCACGTAAATGTACGTGCGACGTTTAACGCTAAACGTGCTCATCTAATTACAAATTTTATTTTTCTTACAAAGATCGCGGCTCGTGTTACGACTGAAAAATATATGACCACATTTAGTGCTAAATATGTTATTAGTGCCTCGCGAATATGGGCCTTTGTTTCGGTCGGTTCGCGTACGCTGCAACCTACACGCAAAATTGCCTTGATTACTTTAACAAGTACGCTTTTAACGGGATACAGGGCAATAACGCGATGTAGAAACCTTCGCAGATGTTAAAGAATTAACGAGAGCTGTTACAACGCATTCGCATAACAGTTAAAAGGTTAAATGAAGGAATGATGAAGTATGAAGCCAACAGAGCCAACAGAGCCAACAGAGCCAACGGAGCCATAGATCGTGATGCGAAGTAATATGTAATATCTTTCCAACACGCGCAGATAAAAGATTAAATTTTAAACTCACGGTATGATATCCATTATCCATCATTAGCAATCTTTTTCCATACAATCTTTCAGAATTACTAAAGAAATGTTCGCATTCTCTCATGTGCTCAATTTCTTTCCTTTTCTTCTCCTTTTCCTTGTTTCTTTTCCTCTTCCTTTCCAAATTGCAGAAGCCTGAAATATAAAAGTATACGATTAAGAATACACAATTTTATTTCCATATTAATTAAGTAAATTTATAATTACTTATCTTATTGCAAATATAACTCTGGAAATATGCATTTTATTTTTATAAATATTATATATATTTTCGTAATGAACTTTTACATTAACGTTATAATTGCATATACAGAGATTTCTTAAAAGTGAGTATGAGTTATTTTTATAAAATTTGTCTTTCTACATAAATCTACGTATAAATTATGTGTGAGATCGAAAAAGTAATTTCTTCAATATATCATCAACTTTATTGTTTAATTATGTATGATTACAAAATATGGAACAAATCATTCAAACGAATATTTCAAATTTTTAACTTGTGTTAAGGTAAGGCCAAAAATTCGAGTTTCTGTTATTTTAACTATTTTGCGACGAATATTTAAGATTTGTCAAAATCGGAAAAAGACTTTTCTTATGAAATGGCTTATTATTATATATTGGCTGAGTAATACGAACGATTCAAAGTACTCGCTAATTAATTGCGCTAGTTAATGATAAGAACTGGATAATTATAAGAACTAGAAGAAATGAATTTTCTAGTAA